AAAAAAAAAAAAAAAAAAAATGACAATGACTTATTATTTTTATTGAAGTGGTTGCTTCTCGGTTTCTTCAGTGTTTATTATTAGGAAAAATTATAAATACACTAGATGTTTCAGTACTTGAATTGTCAGTCAGTACAAAGTAAATTATAGTGGAAGTGATACTTTGTCATTATTATTATGCATTTGTTTTAATTAAAAAATAAATAATAAAACTGTCTATGGTGAGTAATAAACCCGATGAAAATTGTATGTTTCAATTGCTTGTTACTTCCGCCAAGGAGGTTTTATGTCTTCACTACTGTCTGTTGGTTTGTCAGTCTTGTGTGTCTGTCTGTCAGCAAGATTATGCAAAAACTGATAAATGGATCATCATATAATTTAGTGGAATGGTACATAATATTCGTAGAAAGACACATTTTAATTTTCAGAAGAAAAGGTCAAAGGACAAGGTCAAGGTCACTGAAATTCAGTTTACTGTATCTACCCTCAAGCATAAAAAGAGAATGATGGAATCACCCCTCGTATTCAGGCAGCACTCAAGAAAATAATGTACCTGAATACGACGGACAATCCTATTATTTTCTTGAGGGTATGCTGCAGTTTTCCTCATTATACACGGCTTACTTATTGTTGGATTTCAGGTTAGCACTCTATAGAGTGCTTTAGTTACAGTGTATATATTTAATGTGTTAAATTTGATAACTGAATTGTTACCTCTGCCAATGTAATCATCACAGTCAGTCTGTTTGTCTGTCAGTTAGGATCACACAAAACTAAATGAATGTTTCACATAACATTTGGTGGAGTGGTACATACTGATCTAAGGAAAAGGTGATAACATTTTGGGGTGAAAATAGGTAAAAGGACAAGTTTGCCAGTTTGGCAAAATAGGGATCCAGTGAGCAGGGTAATGACATCATCATCAGCTCCTGTAGTCCTTCACAAAAGGTGCATTATAATACAGTACTGTATTATTCTTATTGATATGGTAATTATAAATAAGATGATATGTAATGGTATTGTTGATATTGGTAATGGTGATGCTAAAAATTTATCTTTCTAAGCTTTCTAAGTTGTTCAGTATAATGAAAAACTAAAGATACAATGCATCTTTATTATATATTTTCAGGTACATACTCAAAAACAAAGGATATTTCCAGGTACATGTGCGTTCAAAACACAAAGGAGAAAGGTGCTATGAACGGACAGGTACAGTTTAATGGAAACCAGAAACGAAACTATTAAAAAACGGTGATATTTTAAGACTGTGTACGCCCTGAATAAAGTACAGTAAGTATGGATGAATGAATGATTGATTGAATAAACAGATGGATGGACAGAAGAACAAATAAAAGTGCAAGTAATTTCATAATATTGGTATCATGATAACCGTGGAAATTTAAGAGTAATGGTCTTCCATTTATTTCTCTAGTGCATAATACAGTGCAATGTCTGTATGTGCTCTTTACCCAGTGTCACCACAAGATGAAGTTGACCTTTTGAAATTGGAAATTTACTTTATTTTTCGCATAATTTACTTTTTTGCAGTGAATTTGGGTTTGAGGTTGTCCTTTAAGACTCAAGTTGCAACACCAAATACCCATAAAAATTCAGTGAGGGCTGAAACGTGAGTAACTTCACCAGTTATCCTTCAAGTTTTGGGTTTATGGTCATGGATCAAACCTTGTGCTTATGAATAAGTTATGTTGATTGTTGGACAACCTTTAATTTAAGAAGAAAGGCTGTCTATCCTTGCCAAAGGCCGAGTTCAGATTTTCTCGTAAAAGCGCCCTTTCTATAGCAACTGTCCCACTCTATGAATATGCCCTTACCCTAGCACTCATCCTCAACCCACTCTTTTTCACAAAATTCTCTCCTCTTGTAAAATTTCATCTCCTATGAAATTGGCATTCCCTTGCAAATTACTGGCTCCTAACAAATCACACTCTCGTCTTTTGTAAATCACCCTTTCCTTTTGCAATTCACTAGGGCTTCCCTGTCAAGTCACTCCTTCCGAAGCATGTTTTATGAAAAGTTTCTTCTCTATGGCAGCATTGTGCGCCCTAGTAATCCATTCTCACCCTAAAGCATCTTAGCAGAAAACCTTCCCTAGCAAAGCATTCTCTTTAAATAGCTATTTTTTTGTTGTTGATTTAATATTGCTTTGAACATTATTTGATAATACACACAAGAAATTCAAGTAATTTATCACATTGACTCATAAAGGCTGGCTTTTCACCAAAACAATATTGTGCACCAAAGATTAAAGGTATCTTGCTCAATGATGTGCCAACAATACACATGGAGAGGTATTAAACTACCTCCATGATCCTTGGCTATTTTTCCGGAGTTGTGTTATTACGTTATTTTTGACAAAGCCCTGCCAATGGATAATGAATTGATTTAGTCTTTATTAGAGGCCGAAGATAAGGTTAAATCATGCATTTCTTTCATCGTATATTGGTACCTTGATAAATTGATATTTGACAGCTGATGATGGTTGTTATCAATGTTAATTTTTTTAAGGTTCAGGAAATATTAGGCATGTTTAGATAAGGTAGTAAGTAAACTCTAATTAGCAACTTACTCATGCTAAACCCTGGGTAGTGTCAACAAAGATGCTCTTCTGATGTCCTGCATGAAGTCAATGGGCCAGAGGGTACAGAACTTAATCTTCAGCTCTACTATAGATAATTTATTGACAACCACACTTAACACCGGATAATAAATTTAAAAGAAGTCATAGATACAGTATTACTGATTAATTTGTATGATTTTTTTTTATCTGGTGTGTCCTAAAGTCTATAGGAAACAAGTCCCACTGAATGACTCATCTTGGAGTTACTAGTAATAATTTATGTATTATTATTAACTAAATAATTGCTTATTATTTACTAATGCTGCATTGTTCTCCCACCTTTTTTTTTTATGTATTTTCATGGCATATTTGTGCACTTAATGTGAGATTACTATTTAATATTTCTTCCAGTTGCATTCTGATAGATCAGGAAGCAGTCATATTATAGATAGACTGTCTTTTGAAAGGGCATTGTGTATCACTCAATACAAAAGGTTATTGTCACTTAAACAGCTATTGTCACATGCATTGTCATATTGTCACTGTGACACTCTCTGAGGCTGTCACAGTGACCTAGTTACTTGACATCCTTGCACCTATACAGGAAGTCTGCCCTCGTGTTCGCCAAAGTTTACTGGTAGCTTAGATTCCAAAACCTGTACAAAAACGAAAACAATTCATCGCTGACCTCTCACGTATGTTATTGACCTCATGAATACATGTCGGCTATCGGAAGTAGTAATCAATACCAATTAATTATTATGACATCAAAGTTGATCTGTCCATAATCTGTCAGTGTCCATAACTGCTTGTTTTCACTTCAATTTGTGTTCTTACTTATTTTTGTACATTGTGTTATCAGTAGGCTGATTATCACCTTTTGCTGTAAAGTTATAACACACCAACGACAATGTTCAAACACGCATCCACTCTAAGGTGCTGTCAGCTTGTTACTGAAGCGAACAACTAATGAATATTTGTTGGATTTACTTGTGAGCATATTTGTGGAATATATCAAATATTAGGTGAGTTTTTAACTGTTTCCTCAGCTAGAATTGTTTAATAAATAATGCCTGATTAATGCGACAGGAATGCACCAAATATAACAAATGGTGCCAAGGATATTTTCCCTAGCAACGATATTTCGCTATTGAGAATGCATATCAGAGGTCCCATGTTGGAAGATTTCCCTTCCTGGAGATTTCCATCAATCAATCGGAGATTTAGTTGGCGCATGTAACTATCATCCATGATATGGAGATGCTCACGGCACTCAAAATTATGATGCATGAAATCCCAACAAAAAAAAAAGATCTGTTTAAATGAACTTTCTTAACACATTTATTTTGCTACACATGGCGATACCTATAGGCACTGACTTCCGTGAGACTATTGATAATAAAATCGTAATATGGGAGTTATTTTCAGTAGATTCTTGCTTGCTTGTGGGAGTGCAGGAGGCCTTCCCGATTTCTGGAAGACTCTGTGACTTCCGGGAGACTTGGAACCCCTGGCATATCCTTGTAAGAGTACCAATGAGAGGCAAAAATCTGTGGTCATGGTAACGGGGCACAGCTTATTTTTCACTTCAGCATCGTGTGTATCTTCACTGTCTGTGTAGTAATTGTATTATCATGGTTTGTATTTAGTGACATGAAAGCGTTAAACAGATATTCTTAATTAATTTTTAGTACATTTTCTGTTGTGTATGACAATTGGAATGCACACACCACCAGTGTAAAGCCCTGTCCAGACTATCAAATTATATTTGACAAAAGATGTGACATGTCTAAATGTGGTCATGATGATGTCACATCATGACCATATATAGGCACATGATGACCATATACGGGCATACAACAGTTTTTTGTATAAGAAAACTTGATAGTGAGGACAGAGCTTCAACCACTGTTGAAAAAACAAGTTCTCGTAATCTTGAAAGCTCCGATGAGGGCAGCATAATAGAGGCAGTAGAGTATATTGGCGCTAACGGCCGCCTGTACAAAAAACATATATTAATCAATCCGCCGATCTAAAAAGTGTTATTGAATACAAACTGAAACAGTTAAGATCATTACTAGTTTGTTTGCAATGAGGTCTATGAGATCCATTGTGATAGTTATAAGGAAATTCATATTCCTGACTCACTTGTGTGCCATTGGTGGAATTTAACCAGTTGATCAACCAATTATTTGATCAGCATTGTTTTGTCTTTCTAACACCGATATCTTCCTACTCAATAATCACAATATGATTTGAAGTTGCATCCTCGCCTCAGGCTTGGGAAAAGGAAGTGTATATATATATATATATGTATATGTATGTATGTATGTATGTATATATATATATATATATGTATATATATATAAATATATATATAATAAACTATATACACTATATACATAGAAAGAAGATATTGATGTCAACAAAGAAAATTTAAAATAAGAAGAAAAAGATATCTAAAATATTCTTTCCTAGTAGGTCCATGTTACGTTCAACTAAATACCTAAATAATAAACAGTACATTCTAAAGTACATGAACCACCAAAACATCTTTGTACATTACTTCTGTGATTATGACATTCAAAATGACTTCCTGTAAACATGATGACTACAAAGTAGCTAAGTAGCCGTATTAGTCAGTAAACTCAAAATTATTAAGTCTAAAGTATGTGCCATTTGAATTTACTTCACAATGAGATTTTTCGAATGAGTATCATTCCATGGAGGTATATAAACAGCTAATCCTGGTGAAAAATATTTATTTACAATAACTATAAAATGTGATCAGTGACAATGCAGTTATCAGATTACACTTTGAAATATTCAATTTTAATATTTCACTCAACATAGGATTGCTTGTGATTGTAAAACTCCATGATCATTCCTACTGTAAGTAATGGAATTATTTTTATCTGTATTTAGTTATTAGTGAAACAGAGGTGGGCATAAAAATGAGTCTGAGAGCCAAACTGAATTTTGAATTAACATGAGAAGGCCGCACCAAAAATTTGATGTTTCCAGTGTGCTTTAAAAAACTTTCATAGACTGCTTTTATACCACTTTATGCTCAGTTCTAACATTATTTTTAACAGATGGTCGGTGTCGGGCCGTCAAAAACAAGAAGTGTACTAGCCTAAGATAGTTGGCGGGCCACACACATAGGGTATTAAAGTTCTTTTTGCAGGCCGCAACCAAATTACTGTCAGGCCACATTTTGCCCACCTGTGCAGCAAAGCATATTTACAAACCTGAGCATTGGTTTGTTTCCTTATTTTCATATTCCGTTTAGGTGGATTTTTTTTTGCCACTAATTTATATTTCTGTTGGCTGATTTACAATTATAAAATCCTTGTGTTTTGGGCCAGGACCTCAAGGATAAGGGATTGTTCCCCTTACCCACTTGCAACAAATTATTACAATCAAATGACTAGCTATAAATCTATATCAAGCCACTTTGCATATGTTGGATTAGCAATAGGCCTTAATCCAAAATTTTTAAAATATATTTTTTATTGAAATACTGCAATTCATTCAAACTTCCATATATTTTTGTTGTACTTTGAATTAAGGCATTTACCTCTAAAGTAAATATTTGTCCTGAACTAGCTCAAATAGAATTGAAACCAATACTTACTTGTATGGTATTGTAGGCCTGATTTATTTATCGCCTTCAAATTTTTTTATGCTCAAAAGTAAGGCATTTACCTACACTGTATCATCATATATATATCAAAATAGGGATTTAACTAAAATATACATTTTTCCTAAGCTAATTTAACGACACCAATGCTACATTTAAAAAAATTTTTAAACTTTTATATTGTCCAAATATTTGCCAAAACATGTGCCTTGAACTAGCATTAATCCCACTGATGTCAACTCTCAGACACAGTTTAGAACTTAATCATACCATGGACCTTATTAATAGGCCCATGATCATACTGCCTAACATTATAGTATTCACCTAAAGTACATTCATTACCCTGAACCAGCTTAAGTTACCCTGATGCCAACAATGAATATTTTGAATTCAATCATTATCATCAAATTTGTATTTCCTTCAAATTAAAAAAAAAATAAATAAATAAAAAAATTCTCTAAACATACATGTGCCTCTAATTATCGTATATAACACTGATGCCAACTGTGTATAATTAGAATTTATGCAGGTAATTGCATGAGTTTTATTTTGTTAATTATTGCAGTTTAATGGCATGTACTTGAAGCAATTTGATAACGAGGGTGTTGCCTCTTTTCTAATCTGTTACTTCTTGTGCATATTAGTGTTCCTGTCACCCTGAGTTAGTTTCTTTTTCTCACTTTGGACCGTGAACAACTTTTAATAAGTTGCGACATGCCTATAATCAGGAGAATGACACATGGGTTTTTTTCCTCCCTTTGATTGGTATATATATGATTTTTTTTCTTTATCTTTGTTGCCTTTAATAATCCATGCTCTTTTTTCTCCCGTTACTATAGGAATATTTGCAATGTTTGCTTATTGATATAAGAATGTAATACTCTTCACTTTCCTCTTTAAGAACATGCCCCTTGTTTACTTTCTTTGGAATGTACATTTATTCTTCCCTTTTTTTGAGTGCTATGTGCCTTTGCACCTCTTGATATAGGTAGGAATGTGTGTCTTATACCATTTTCTTTAAATAATGTTCGTCTCCTTTTTGACTTAGGAATATACAACCTGTGTTGTTCCTATACCAGTGTTATAGTTAGTTGGTATATTAAGTTTGCCTGGTGTAGTTGGTGTAATTATTTTTTGTCGGGTTAGTATACCGTAGTTACTTTGCCTGGTTAGTGGTATAGTTAGTTTGCCCTTTTGGGTAGATAGTGAAGCCTGGTTTCCTTAAAATCGCTACACTGTCGCTACAGTGTTTTCAGTGCAATTGTCGTACAGGGTAGCAGTCTCTGACGCAATTAAGAAGGCTCCCCGATTTGGCCGACCAATCAGCATCAGTGAATGCTCTCAGCAATAGTGTGTAGCGATTGTATGGAAATATAATTTATTTGCCTGCTTAGATTTGTTTTGCTTGAAATTGAAAAAAAAACAAGATTTATCCATAATTGGACTGATTTGTTTATTTTATTGAATTTTCTTATTTTAACAAATGTTTACAAATGTAGAAATATTGACACACACAATGACAAAGTTTATGAAATAAGTATAAATTGTTTGTAGAATATTCACAAAGGTTTAAATACATGCCCTTCTTTCAACTGTCAATGACTTCTTGGAAGGGTTAAAGTATTTGGCTAATTTAGGTATAAATTAGTTTAATATTTTCTATTTTTATATACCGGTAGTTTTGACTTGGTCATTGCCTGATCCCACATGTTTGAAAAAGAAATTTGTATCACATGTTTGAGTGGGCAGCTAAAGCTTATGCTAATAGAGCCCTAAGAAATTGAAACTGTCAGTTCTGTATTCATTTAATTCTTTATTTCTACACTGAAAGGTGTGTACACTACCTATCGAATTCAAGTGGAATTTGTCATCACAGCAATTAACAGATGTATTAAAACAACGTAATAATACTTGTAAAAGATTAACATCTTCGACAGACCTGTTCGCACAAAAGCCATTGTCTAATGTTGGAAATTATTTAAACTTTGGTTCACACGCTATACGGTAAGCAACTACCGGTAATTATCTATTAACTTGCATTATAGATATTGAGATATAAGAATAAGTTCTAGATGATTTATTAGATATAAAGTTCACTTTAGTTGGTCATTTACCTTCTAGATTCTAAATCTGAAAAGTCATCATATTGAAATAAAAGTCTATTACTTTCAGACTTAAAGTTTTAATTGAATTTATTATATTGTGAGATTTTAATCTTTAAAATAAATCGAAAGAAAAAAAGAACCTTTATTTGTATCAAATTTCTTATAACAAGTGCTATGGAAGAAATCAGATAGTATTTTACGTAACAGAATATATGCTGATAATAGATTTAAATACTATCATACCTTAGATTATCTTACATTTTCTATAAATTATACTTTTCATTTTCCTCTTTAATTTCTTATGATTATTTATTTTTCGTAATTTTATACTCATTAATCTGCATAACTTACATTTTCATTATCAAGCTTATGAATTTAGAAGGCATTTTAGTGCAGTGGTTTTCGAGCCACGTGCTGACCGTGCTGGCCAACTTGCACTGTTGACAGGTTGTGAATTGGTTCATGTTATGGGTCAGGCCCAGGTGCAAATATTACATAGCATATAAGTAACAAATTTTGTTTGAACCACAGTTCACTAGGCTAACCTATGAGTAAAGCTAATTTCTATTCGGTTCCTTGACTTTTTGTCATGGATAATTTTATTTTAAATTGAAAAATTGATAGCTTTGCTATTAATAATAAATATATGAAATAATTTATTCTTGGCATATCGTAATAATACAAATGCCTTTATGCTTTTCATAATGTTGACAGTACTATAATGTACATATTATATATATAAATTTAAAAATTGATAATACAGTTATTGCTATTAATAATAAATATATGGAATAATTTATTCTTGGCATATCGTAATAGTAAATGCCTTTATGCTTTTCATAATGTTGACAGTACTATAATGTACATATTATATATAAATTTAAAAATTGATAATACAATTTTTACTATTAATAATTAATATATGAATTAATTTATTCTTGACATATTGTAATAATTCAAATGCCTTTGCTTTTCATAATGTTTACAATACTGTAATGTACATATTGACCAACATTGATTAAACAAATTGAGGGGCAGTTGCAGGTTTTAATATTACAAATTCTGGCAATCCCATTGATCAAACCCATTACCTTGAAATGTAAAGCCAGGCACTGTTCATCTAAATCACAATTCACAAACCTATACCTATCTGCCATACAATTCATATATTGATTTTGTCTTTATTTATTGTCTAACACGGAGACTAGAACGATGTGGTATATATATTTGAAAGTACCAGAAGTTTCTTAGCACCCAAGGGATTGGTGGTGACCATACACATTTGCTTAATTTGTTACTTTGTCCAATGACCCTGGGGTGTAAACATAACCACCTGGAAGATTAAGGTTGCTACATGATGTAACCAAATCATTATCGACATGGAGGGCAAGCAGACCAAGGTTGAAGAATACAATTGTCGGTCGGTGAAAATTACAACATAGCTAATTTCCGACAAAGAGAGAGGGAAACGAAACATTACTGTCATGCAGAATATGATTTGACTGAGTCTTAGTAACAAGATGTCCCTTCCACAATCCAATCTGGATTGCATATGAGATACATGTTTTTTTGTGCTTTTGATTTTCATGTGTCAATTGATCAGAGTTTTTGTTTCGTGTTTCTTTGGTAGATATCATCAATACAAATGAAGGGCAATAATGGGAGGAGTTGTGTACAGACTTCCTGTCTGTGGCAGGTAAGAGGCATTTCACACTTTTTTTCTTTAAAGATACTGTTGGTTATAAAATCTAGATAACTCTAAGTACATTCCATGTTTAAAATAAAAGGTCAAATATGAGTTTAGCGGTTGTCCAATTGGTATTTTTGTTGATTATTTTGCTGATGGCCCAGATTCAAACCCTGCCTGCAAAGATTTTTAATTGGAGTGTGATTACACAACTCCCCGAATTGAGAGGTAGGAGGCAGGATATGGGACAACTGATGCAATTTATATTGATATTGGTTTTGTACCATTGCAGCCTACAGGTCCTAGAACCTAGTCAATGCGCCATTAGCATCCCTAATGAACAGCACTGGTTCGTAACAAATTTCGAATGCATTATACGATCATGCATAGTCCTCTTAATTCTTTTGAACCAAGCACAATGTTTTATTTTATTTCTTTTATGTTGAAATATTTTTACATTAAATAGGAATACTTGTACACATATTGATTAAGTGTTTTATAATACAGTATTTAACATTATATTAGCTGTTCAAAAATCAATTTTTTTTATCATTTCAATGATTAACCAATCTAACAAATCAATTAGCTGAATTGAGTGTTCTGTCAAAGTTGAATCATTTCATTAGTGTCATTGTCATTATGCATCTTAAAGAGTTTCTTAGTTTCTTCTCTGTTGGTGACTCAAGTGATGTTTCCTTGTGCGATATTTTTACTCTTAGTAGCTTTAAGGAAAACACTTTGCTTTAGGAAGCATGTTGAAGGAAATATTGTGAGTCAGTTAATGATGAGCAACTTTGAATAACAAGTGGTTAGGAGAGGAAGGGGAAGGTGGAGATGTGGTATACAGTAGCATAGTCGGACCTTGGTGAGAGGAAGGGGATACTACTGTATATAGGATATAGGTGGAGATATGTCAAAGCGTCATAGAATACTGGTTAGTGAAGGCCATTTAGATTCCATCACAATTTAAAAAAATGTAAATTCATATGACTAAATTGAAATTCATGTGTCAGATTGGACTTTCCACTGTTTAACTCTACAGTAGTTTCAAAATACAGTTTATTGATAAAATTAATATCTTAACTATGCAACTAGACCTATATTTATACAAAACTTTACAATCACAGAATTGGATTGGATTGGATTGGATTTATTCGGTGTAAACATCAAGGATAGCCCACGAAGGTCTAGAACACGACTTATTTCCAGTGGGGTCCTTCTGGTGGTGATTGGGCAGTACACCATGAGACAATTCCCTACTCTTTTCCGAAGAGTGTACTGCGTTCTTTAACCTGCACATGGGCTATAATGCACACGGGACCAACAGCTTAAACGTCTCATCCAAAAGACGGTGCGCTATTGTAACTTGTATTTCAGCCCTCTAGCTGAAACACAAGGAGAGGCAGCGATGGGATTTAAACCGGGGACCTAGAGATCTCCACGGTTCAGCGCACACACAGCGGCTACCACCAGATTAGCTGACTGAGCTAAGCTGCTCTCGATATTGACAAGTTAACAAAATGATTATAATATTGAATGATTGTTGCAGTGTAAGTTAGAGGTAAAACAGAGAAAGTTTTATGATTTTGTTATTGATACTCGCCATGCAAACTTCAAGAAATATTTTGAAACAGAGTTGCAAGGTGGAATCAAGAGATAGGGGAGAGGGTGTTGGAATCTGGCATGGTGTACAGTATGTAGTGTACTGAAACCTTGGTTAGAGAATGGGCAATACATGTAGAAGTGGCATAGGATCCTTCTTGGGAGTGAGGAGGACAATGTGGACATATACATGTATAAAGGAAAAGGTAGAGGAAGAAGAACCCATAACTCGCAGCGTCATTGTGCTGAATTGCGTATCACCGTGGTCCGTGACCACATAGCCACCATAGGGGTGTTGGTGGGTATATTTTGATCAATGATAAAATTAACACAAGAGAGAAATCTTCTCTTCCTAATATATGGTTAACTGTTTTGTTTATAGCTTTGAAAAATATAATTTTTAAAATTATTATTATTATTATTATTATTATTAGTAACATAATAATAATAATAATAATAACTTTGACAATGGATAAATTAGAGAACAATTAAACATCGGCGTTAGGGGAAAATAACACAAAAGATATTCCCCTTAAATCCGACTTAGCGCATACATATTATTATTATTATTATTATTATTATTATTATTATTATTATTATTAATTTTTCTACCCAAATATATGGCAATCTTTTCTTTATTGAAATTTAGTAGTATTCTATAAACAAGCATTTTTTGACTTGTAGCTTTCTATCAGTGTAATTTGACATAATTATATCTTAATTTTGAATTTTATCATATTTAAATTATCCTTGTTTTTGTTCTTTCCTGTTATATTTCATGTTTGTATATGCCTTTTGTTCTTTGTTTTTATTATTTAAAATTATTATTTTTTGATTATGTTAATTTTGATTAAGTTTCTATTCTTAACATGTTAAAAATAAGTGGACCATTTGGGAGACCAGTACTTTTGTATTGAAAATGTATCCAGTCAAAAGAAAGAATAAATAAATAAATAAATACTTGTTTTTATGATTAAATATTGCTTTGGAATTCTACCAACAAAGTAAAAAGAAGTTCCTAAACCAAAATAAAGACATTGCTTTCAACACCTTGTTAATGTCCCATTGGTCACAACTATGCAAATTAGCTGCTACAAAGGACGTTGGCATGTCATTAATTAGTCAATTATTAGGATGTGGAACTGCTTGTTAATCAAAGCCTCGTTGCCTTGTACCATGCAATGACTTGTACTGTACATTATACTATGTAGTCATTGGCGCGTATGTGACTCGATAGTGCGACATGGTGTCAGTCGCTGTATTTTTAATTGGACCAGTGTTAGTCCTCACAAACGAGAGAGATATGCTATTTTCCCTCTTATTGTGTCATTTCTGTCTCAAGGGTGAATATTGGGATTAGGTATTTAATCAGCTGGGAATAGATTTTTCATCAAAAGTGTCATCCAAACAAGTTTTTGACAGCCCCATAATACCATTTTTCATGTTCATACTGAATTTCAATAGACCGATAATGACTAATACATTCCAATACTAAAGTTATTTTTTAAATGAAATTAATAAAAAAAAATAAATTAGGCACCAACAATAATTAATGACATGCATGTTACAGGATATATGCTATGTTATGTTATTTTTCTTAATTAAATCTCTTATGATATCTTAAATAACTATATTATCACTCTTTCCAATAATAAACTTTAAAATCACGTCAGGGATTTGAAGGCAAGTACCCTAACCATCAAATTACAAATCGACTTTATGATGTTTTTGATTCAAACATAAGATAGTTCTTGCTAATGTGGATCTATATACTCAGATATATTGTATGGCTTTTATGAAACAGATAACATGTAGTAAGTAGAAAGACATTTCTTATAGAAGAAAATAAATAAAGTTATCCATTTTTGAAGTCATAATTTGTAAAAATATTTGTCAGACACTTTCCTTCCTATCTGTCTCTTTTCAGAATTTTGTTAGAGATTTGAATATCTGAAAATAAAGAGAAAATATAGCAGACACTTCCTTCTCATTTTGATTGGTCTATTTTCAGAATGATGCCTTTGAGACAGGATGCTTTTTCCCCTAATGCAGACTTAAATAAACTTATATATCAAAAAATAAAGAAACTATTTCAGACGTTTGCTTTCCCGTTTATTAAATGTCATTAAACTTATAGCGGAAAAATTCATCACGTTCCCCCCTCTAATTCATTGATAACAAATACAGATATCGACTTCCTATTGGTTATTCCCACGCTGGAAACACACCTTGATGTAAATGAGTTATGGAAGTAACATGGCCTTACACGGGAAAAGAAATTATAGACAAAACCACATATTTTACCAGAATTTTTTTTACTAATTTATTATTTATCAAGATTTGAAAGGTCATCCTTCGTCAAATGACGTGCAGCTAAAAAAACACGACAGGCATTTGGAAAGGAATAGTTATGTAATTCTTTTGATTTTGAATTTTAATTTGATAAAATTGTGGCTTACTTTCACACGTTATTTATATTTTGACACATTTCCTAAGCCCTTCATTTGCCATTATCTTTTTAGTTAAAAGTATCAAACCTAATTTTAGGTAAGTAATAAATCATCGAAAGAGTTAACATTTTCAATAATTTTCAAAGGTGCAATTACAATAGTTTCAAAGTATATGGTTCATCAGCTACTGAGGCACTGTAGAATATAATAATAATAATTTGAATATTTATATCTCGTCATTAAATAGTGCAGTGGCAAATTCAAGGGGGTCCCAGCTGTCCCGGGATTCCCCTTTCCCCTAAATTAAAAAAAATTAATTTTAGAAAATGGAGACAAAAAGAAAATTATAGTCAAATTTAAGTCTGAAAGTGCCATTTTCGTCCATCTAGAGGTGCCATAATCATATATTTTCTTACCTCAGCCCCAACCACGGTGGTGCTAAGGTGGTATACTGCAGACCCTCATCTGTGGAAGTCCTTCTCTGGTCCCTTTCTATTTTGAATTCCTTGGTCCGCCACTGTAGCTTTAATAATATGATGGGTGATGGTTGTTATTTCCAAAGTTATTCCTGCAGAAGATTTAATAACAAGATTTTTATTACTTCTAACCAATAAAACCTTGTTTCAGTTCTAAAAATAGAATCATGCATGAAGCTGTAGGATATTGTTAGTGGAAAGTTGTACCCATTGCTAATTTTGTTCATATGTCTTCACTTATATAATTCTGTCCATACTGTTTTGCACTGTGTAGCATTTATTGAAAGAGTCATGTTAAAATCTGTTACAGTACTAGTAGTATTTCAGGGTGCTATATGTGAGGCAGTTCCCATGTTAAAATACTTAAATGGTCACTGAAGCAGGCCATTGTTAAGTTCAGAGTGATTTAGCATCACTAAAGGTGCAGTTTTGAGAATGTGGTTGACACATACGATTGTATTTCAGACTCTTATCCTTAAAG